TTCATTGCAACAACTTGATCTTCAGTTCACTCCGAACTTCAAAGAGACAACATGTCAGGCTAATCCCATCTCGTGCAAACATGTGCTCTTCTTTCGCTGTTACAGCCACTTCGGGTATAATCTTACGAAACCTGCTTGCAAAAGCTGTACAAACTCAAATCTGGATGGTTGGTCTGCTATGTTGGAGGCAGACGGGACACGTGACGTCCACATGAAAATCGAATTCGTTCTGATGACATCCCAAAGTTGTCTAAGCAGTTTGGCATGCGTAACTACAGGCGACCACATCGAGATCAGACTAGCTCTAGCCGCCTCATTGTCGACAAAGAGGAAAGCCCTTCGCGCTAACAAGTGATCCTTCATCAAAACGATAGCCATGACTGCTGCCATGAGCTCTAATCCAGAGATCACTTTTGGTGTGGTTTCCTGTAGCTTCTCGAGGACTTCCTTTGGAACCTCGTCGGCAAAGAAATATCTTTTCACGGGCACTTGATCCTTGCACACATACGCAACCATGCCTACTCCCGCTCTGGTGTCACCCTCTTCAAGGCATGCATCTGTGAAGATGACTACTTTCACTCTGCTTTGATCTACTTTCAGAATCCTAGGACGATCATCTTCGATGAAGCATTGAGCCCAACGGAGTTCACCAAGTATGTTCTCATCCAAACTGGTACCAGGGCTCGTATTTGCTGCGCGGGAGTTGCAAGCTCTCATGAACAAGTTGATAGCTCTTCCAAAAGTTTGGCTTTCCGCAAACTGCACCCTTCCTCTCAAAGAAGATGCCACTGCAGTAGAAAAGGAGCCGGACCTGATGATCTCAGCTATCTCTTGCTTGATTTGAAGCACACGAGACTCTTTGTTCCTGACCACTACTATCCCGGACTTGCTAGCGCTGAGGTCCACTGTCACCCCCAACACGGAGAAAGAAGCCGCCATGGGACATCGTTTAGTGTCCTTCATCGAGAACTTCCAACCAACCAAATCGAGAAAGCCCTCAGCAGTAGTTTGCGAAGAATCCCCCAAGGCAGCTAAGTCAAACTGAGTAAAGTCGTCAAAGTAGCAAGTCCATGTCAAGGAAAACAACCGTGAGCCGATGATCTGCAAGGCTTTTGAGAACCTGTTGAAGCTGTAGACTGCAGCAGATGCTCCGAAAGGTAAAACCTGGGAAAGAAACAAATGTGGTTGCCCTGCGCAATCACGAACTTGTAGAACACTTGACCACAACGATGACTGACGAACTAGAAGTTGCTTATAGGCAGAATCCAAATCCAGAGTCCTACCTAGTATGGTTCGTGCAGCAGTCACGTCCAACGAGAAGTGAAGGCTTCCTTCAAGGCTACTACCATCGCTCAGCTTCAAGCTCACCCGGCCATCATCCGTTACAGCCCCAGCCATGGTCCTAGCTAGGACTGCTACGCCGTCGACACCGTCAAGCTCTAGGGAATAGCTCGCTGCAAAGCTGGAGTTCACAAGGCTGATGGACATGTCATCGATGGGCCTGACCTTGTCGGATTGACGAAGACCAAAGCGGGGAGATACCACATACAGTGGCCCAACCAACGACTTCACCTGGCTGTCCGACAGCGGGCCCTGCAGCCAGCCCTTTTCGACTTCTTTCATCGTGATTTCCCAAACATCCTTGTTCAACTCCATGTCCATAGTGTTGGATTCTCTGCCCGCCACCATCTTCCTACTCCATCGAGACGACTTCATCAGCTGAACATCATCCATGGCTGGTTGACAAGCTTCTGCGTCTTCGAAGAGGCCTGTGCTTCCCGAAACTCCCGTCAAAGGTGTACCTGCTAGCTGAAGTTCTAGAAGACCATTGTCTGGGACTCCTGCATCCCTGCACATCTCCGCCAACAACAGCGTTCGCTTGTCGGCCACTAACTTCTGCCGGTGTTCAGGCAGCTGTTCATGAAGTTTGTCTTCCTCCAACTGCAAAGCGACAGCTCTTTTGGCATAGTGGCTTAAAGCTTCTCGTCTCCTGCGAAGTACTGCCTCTGGTCCATCTACGAGCACTGCGAAAATGTTCCACTTGGCATCATCTGTCACTGCGCTCGAAGAATCAAACGGGTGGCTCAGCTGAACTGCTTCTTCTACAAGCTCTAGAGCCGTCCTAAGTATCCCCAACTTTGCACTCCACTTGACACCATTGTTTGGGTCCTCAACATCTGCACTTTTCCGACTTTCACATGTGAGGACCTTGGTGAGGGACGGTACCCCAAGGTGGGCAGCTTCATCAGCAGAGAGAAAACGCGGGAGTTTTGTTGGCTTGCTAAAAGGCCATGACACAAACAGTGTTGACTTGTATTCAGAGATGACTTCTGGTAGACGGTGGCCACGAGGTTGACGTCCTGCTGCTGCCATCTTAGTAGGCGGAGCTTTGGGAGCGACCACATTGGGTTGAGAAACCACCTGAATGCCTGCGCTCAGTGCAGCACTGTGCACTGCTGCGGCAATGCGCTGGCACAGAACTGGTGGATATTCGGCCTCCTCCGCCGTGTTGAACTTGTACTTAATGCCATCTTTTGTGATGCCCCACGGTGCATGCACATGACTGCCATCACACTCTTTTGCGAGAGGAAGGAGCCACTCTGCATTGGTGTAAAATGTGGACCACTTATCTCTTTTGCCGCCATGCATGCATTGCTGACAGGTGACTGGAAACAAGCTGAACTCATCTATGAGCTCAAGCATCCATTGTGTTTGCCACATCCAGGACCGTGTGGGGTTCTCGATCGACACAAAGGCTCCAGCTCGAATTGCCTGCTTCAGCAATAGGGCAATGTTGGCATAAATGCGATTGGCTAAGGTGACCCGCTTCAGGTCCAGGCCTCTCAACGACGGCAGCCCATGTGGATGCAAGGCACTACGTAGCGGTTTTGGCTCTTTCACGCCAAGTCTGCGGATTGCCCATTTGAGCTTGCGATCTCTGGCTTTCGAGCAGGTACCGCAAGGCGGCGCAGCATGCACATAGAAGACTCGGCCCGGTGGTTTCAGAAGCGATTTCAAGAGTTGCAAAGCTTCTTCATTGGCTAGGTCCAAGGCGACTGTTGCATAGCATTGTTTATGTTTGTTTGCTTTCTGATCGACTGCCATAGCTTTGAAACCTTTGGTTGCCAAAGACGCCGACAGTCTAGCGCACCCAGCGCAAAGTTCTAAGGTGAAAACAGCATTCATGGGGGCACCCTCAAAGATGCCTCGGGTGACACTGGTGGGTTCCTGCGTCGAGGAGCCCTGTGGCTGTCACTTGTGATTCCTCTGGGAGTGCACTGCCTGACATCCAGGCTTAGTGCACACGTGCCAACCTTTGGTACAGCGTTGTCCTGGAGCGGCATCTGGGCAACCATTCAAATTGTAGCTGTAACAAATCGGTTCGCCACTGTCAGTCATGGGATTTTGTCCCATCAATTCTGCTGGCATCTTCACGGAGGATCTGAAAGCTCTCGTCGTGAGACCTTTGCCACCTCTTCCAGGACCCTTGCCCTTGCCGCTAGAGGAAGGTGGCTTTGAGCCACGGCCTTTGAGATTCCTCACCTGTCCTGTGAGGTTTTCAATGGTCCTCTTCAACTTGGTGACCTCATCCACGGAGCCTCGAAGCTTGCCTGCCGACATGTCTTCTTCGGCTTCATCATGCTTGCGTTTTGTACCTGAAGATGATCCTGCAGGCAGAGGGGCCAACAGCAACCGAATCTCGGCAGCTGTGATTGCTCTGTCCAAAATGGCTTCCAGTGGGGCCACTCCTCCTGCCGGACGAATTCCTTCTCGACTGTTCTTCATGAGGTATTTGAAGAGCTCCAAATCAGCCCGTTGAATCTGATCCAAGCTGACCTTCTTGTAGCCATCAATGGGCAACGCGGCATAGGCCTCCAGCATCGTTCGTGACCAGCGCTCCATCTTGTCATAGTCAATCAACCTGGCCTGATCCAGCGCCAGGCTTCTGCGCTGCAAACAATATTTCAAGCAAAGGTCAGAGCTCGTATCTGCTAAGGTCTCAGTCTTCTGCTTCACCTCTCTGACTACGCCATCACTGCCTGGCTTCCACAATGGGTCATGCTTGATACCAAGCAACTCCTGATCACGCTTGGTGCACTGCTCCCATCTAATGTAACGCAACTGGTTCTCCTCCAACATCTGAAAGACTAAGTCTACCAGGGCATTCGATGGCTCCAACTCACCTGTGAGCTCCAGACCCGTTAACCGAGCCTGTTGGTCTTTGTGCCTTGCTGCACGCTCTGCTTGAGCGAGTTTGCGAGGTTGCTCGTCATCTTTACGATCAACACGTGACCTCAAGTCAGCATTTGCCAAAGTGTAGCTCTCAAAGAACAAACGCCTGATCACAGGCAGCCTATCTTCTGGCGCCGGCTGAGAGTTGCAAACCTTTTCGATCAAAGCAATCAATGGTTGGTCATCCGCTTGGCCTGGCACATAACTACATCCATATGCTAAGGTTCCGAAGCTGTCCAGGTTCAACAGGCTCAAACGATTTAGCTCAGCATCTGCCACCCCGATCTCCAGAGCACGAGCTTTGAATGCAGCTTTCGAATCAAGCATGTCACCTAAGTTCTCATGGAATCACGACCACAGAAAAAGGGGGCTGCGGATACAAGCACACAAACTCAAAACATCCACAAGCACAAATGAAGTGACTGCAATCATCAAGCAAAGTGTCTGCAAAAAAAACAAAAACTTGATTCAGGCGAAGCAGCCTGGCTACCACAGAATATAATATATTTATATTACTTATATAAAAAAAAACTTCTTACCTTCTAATGATAAAGGCTCAAGTTTCTACAACGCAAACTATGCTCTTTCGTGTGCTCAGACTGCAAGTACCAGAGCCCTATGTTTGGTACTCTTGTTGCTTGGATCACCTTCCGACCGACCTCTGCCGCTGCTGCCACTACATCTCTGAACATCCCAGATCGGCGAACAGCCTTTGGGTCAGGCAGCATACGTGTGAGGTTTGTTGAGCACATCAAGTCACGAAGTAAGATGACACTCAACACTGTTGCACATTGCAACACAACACAACAAAGAACTCAACAGCAGCTGCCTACAACTTTTCTCAAGACCCTGACTAAACAAGGTGTCCAAAGCAGTGCTTGCACTTTGGATACGCCAAATCAACAGGGGCTGTGAAGACATAATACGCTTCGGACAGCCACCTACCACATCCAGTCTTGTCACTATACAAGACATGACCATAATGAAGCATCCTGGTTCGAGAATGCCTCAACACCCGCATGGTGTCACATTGGTCGGAAGGTGCTCTGTTGCCGCCAACCACATTGGTTGACGCTAGGAGGGCGTGACTTTGTTCTTCCTCCTCCTCAGCTGAGGAGTTACTCCCTGAAGACGAATCGGAGCTGGAAGAACTTGAATCGTCGATCACCTGGGGCTGGTCTTGCTTGTTGCCATGAACCCAGTCGCCCATATTGCTATGATATAGAGCATACTCCTCTGTGTCACTTAAATGCTCAACCAAACCAGCTCTAGTGACACCTGCGAGCACCATCATGCGCCCCAACCGTTCCGCTGTCTTCTCGGCTTCAGCAGCTGGCATGACACTACGATCTCCGGCCATGCGCTCAGCCGCCTCTAGTACCGACAGTCCAGTGTTTTGCTCAAACAACTGGTGAACAGGGATGGTCATGCTCTTCTCTGGGAAAGTGTAGTCGCGTGGCGCATCGGGGACAAATTTGCCTTCGCGCAGATCTGCTAACATTGAAACCAGCAAACGAATGGGATGACTGAGTGCATCTCGGGTATAATTGATAGCTGACCCATGCATCTGGTTAACGTGAAATCCTAAGATTTCGTTAACCTCCAAGGCGCTTCCCCACACGTTCATGTAGGATAGCAGAGTCGCTTTAAGAGAATGACTGCTGACTCCAGTGATGTCCTCATTACTGAAGCCAAGCCCAAGGATAGCACGAAGACGATCTGTCAGTTCCGGCGATCTCATAGGCCTGTCTTTCCCTTCATTCAATGGCGAAGAGCTTGGCACCAAAACATAAGTGATGTCATTGGATCTCGAAGCTAAGCTAGGCACATCGCTTAGTCCCAGTTCGCATCTTGACAGCAAAAACTCGTGCAGCCAGTTTCGTCCTAACAACCCAAAGGCTGGACAAACCAAGGGCAAGAAAGACGTGGCTTTCTCTTTACTCTTCGCGGTCTTTGTACGGCTGAGCGCTCCCTCATAGTACCTGCCAATCAAAGATGCATGCCTCAGGCGGTTTGCATCAGATGACCGCAGCCTCCCCATTGCACATAGCATGCACAATCCTGCTGCAACTCTGTCCATTGGCGAAGGCAATGCAAAGCAAGCTATCTCGAGCCAGCACAACATTGCCGGCGTAAGTTCTTTCGCCCTCATCCTGGGAGCTTTGGTTAGGAAGAGGTCATAGCTTGCACCTTCAACACGTGCGGACGAAGCTGCTTCAACTGCTCCAGGAAACTGAAAGGCATGGCCAACATATTTCAATGTTCCAAGCAGAGTTTCCACTCTAGAGGCACTCTTTCCAGTATTTCGACAATCACAGGCATACTCGTAGACCACTTCTTCTGAGATAGGAAGAAGGACTCGAAGCGATGACTCAATTTGAACCAAGCCAGGAATAATCCCAGAGATCCAGCACGTTGCATGATGGTCGATGTGGATTTCTTCCTGAAGGTATCCTCCAATGTCCTCATGATGGACTCACTATTTCCCGTAGCTCGCAACAACATCCTCCCTGGGCTAGTGGCCTCGGGCTCCAGCAAGAAAATCTCAGACCACTTTAACAAGGCATTGGCACGCTCGGTGTCGGGATGTTGATGCACTTGGTCATACACAGCATCGCGAATCATAACCTTTTTCTCCGACACAGGAAGCGATTCAATCTTCACTCGTTTGCTTGGAGGAGGTACAACTAGACTACGATAAGCTGGCAAAGCACCCAAATCAGAATGTGGTGAGTTGCCAAACACTTGTCGCAAGAAGACATTGGATTCCCATGGCTGGCGAGGTGACGCATGGATGCTTCCTAAGCTCAAGGCAACATCAAGCTGCCTTTCAAAACCACTCATGGGTCCATTAACCCACCTTTGAGTGGTGTGAAACTTCTTCACAGTGAGACTTCCTCACACACCCACCCACCCACCGCTGGCTTGATGGCGGCGTTCATGTGAATCACACTCACTTCATGCACGTGACAATGACACATGTTGTAATGTTTTAACTGTTTTAAATATTTTCCCCATTAAAACACATTTAA